CTTCCACAATAGAGAGGAATCTATCAATCTGATTGGGTGAAGGAGGAGTAAAGTCAACTATCTTGATGTGGTGAAGCTGTAACTCTGGGCATGAGTCATGGTTGGGTGGTTTCCTCTCACAGAGGCAAACCAGGTGCTTGATGCCATTGTCCACCATATACCGGTATTCACATGGCATCCTGGGCATCGCCAGTCCAGCCAGTTTGCCTGGCTCCACCCAGGAGAAGTTGTGTGGAGCAAAGGAGGCCATAACTATTCAACTGAGGAGAGGGCAGAGCATAGGTTTACTTTATAAACATTCAGTCTATATTAACAATATACGAAACAGTAAAATAAAACCATAATCTTAGTCTGAAACTGTTGATGTCACAAGTGGGATTCGAACCCTCACTTCCAGGAAAGTGTTTTTATTTATGTATTTTTTTTATCGTGTCACAACCCGCCTCAAAGTGTCTCAATCGGGACACTAAAAACTGATTTGATCTTTCTGAGGATAACATGTAAACTTCACATAGATACAGACAAAGCAACAACGACTTTTACATCTTAAATATATCAGTAAACAGTCGGGAAAGAGCGCTAAAATAAGATGCCAAGAGTGACACTGTGCAGCTGTCTACTTTACGTTAGCATAATGCTATTGACTAGGCTAGACAGTCCAGTGACTCATTGAGGGATTAGTTTAATAGGGTTATAAATGTAGCATTATACGGCACAGGTCTGGTACGGAAATACACTTCAGGCCTTACCAGACTTTACCTGTTTGTTTTCAGAGATTAGAAAAGCAAGTGACAAAAGGTAACCCCTAGCTAAACTTTAGCAATGGTATGATGAAACTAAGCACCTCGCAGATTTGTAAAGACAACTCGGGCGAGGAATTCACCCTATAGCAATTAGCTTCCCTATAGACAATGAATGTCTATTACCTGTCAAAACGTCCTGAGAATTACTTACGGTTTACTGATGAATGCACTCTAGGGACTCTTGTTCAAACCGCCTCACCCTGTCTGTCAAGCTAGTTACTACGTTCGCCGTTAGCACGTACCGTAGACAACTTAATAGCAGCTACTTCACAATTTCGCTGATAACTACTACGATTCTACAAGAGTAAAACTGGAAAGACACGTATCTAACCAAGGCTAGATTGTGTCTGTTGCAATGCTAGGTATGACGCGCCAGGCAATCAATCAATTAGTGAGGGAAGCGGCTGTCAAGTTCTTCAATGAAAATCATCTTACTTGTTGTAATGGATATTTAGCTGCCTGCTAATGACAGAGAAGATTTCTGATTTCAGTTCAGCGCCTTCACAGTGGGATGAATTGTTGTTTTAGTAGCACAATATACAATAACACAATTATAAGTGTGCAGATTGCTATGATCGACTTTAAAAGATGGTCTAGCCGTTTCTGTTGATAAGTCAGGATGGCCGAGCGGTCTAAGGCGCTGCGTTCAGGTCGCAGTCTCCCCTGGAGGCGTGGGTTCGAATCCCACTTCTGACAATAACCTTTTTACATTTTTTGATACAAGAATCTGGTTTTATTTCACCGTTTTGTTTATGATTAATGCTGACTGACTGTGAAGGTTCTCAGTCATTAATGCTGACTGACTCCTTGTTTGTGGCCCATAGAATCAACCCACACTGACAAGCTAAAGTTCTGGTTTTGATTCAGTGACCTTAATGACTGTTATGTAGTGTTAAGAGACATGGATTTTTTATGTTAAATCTAGCTAGTCTACAACTTTTTATTTTACATTTTAAATGCAAATAATAATGATTTAAAATGAAAATTAGGAAAACCTAAATGTAATTCGTGCAGTTGCACTTTCAGTACCTGCAGAGGGCAGCAAAATAGCTACACTGTTACCATTTTTAAAAAGTAAATGTCCTTTAAAGTTGCCAAACACACTGCTGGAGCCATTTTAATGAACTTGTGTTGCACTTCTCAAACTTTATTTTAAACTGTGGTGGAGATGTCAAAGTTTGGGATGCCAAATATTACAAAGAAATATTTCTAAAGTCGTTTTTTCATGAGAGTAAATGTTCTCTTATGAAACCGGTGTCAGCTTGCAGATGTGATGATGTTTCCAGAGGTTCTTAGTTTATATATATGATTACAAGCAATGTGGAAAAAATTATCTCACAGATCCGCTGCCTACTGCTTTTAGCAGTATCATGTATAATCGAGAGATGTGCTCGTTGAGTCTGCATTGAATCATTCTTGTTTTAATATTTACTTTTGTCACCTCCAGAATGAGAGTGCCTATTTTATACAACCTCCACATGAAAGGAAAGTGAGAAGATCATTTGACTGTTTCATGCAATAGTTAATGATACAAACACAAACATTCAGAACTCACAGCACGGCACAGTTTACTTGCTAGTCATTTCATACAAATAGTAGAAAGAGGGTTTGTATCTGAAGGAGACAAACTGCATCACATGTGCCAGACAGGCTAGATGTTGATACACAGAGACTGATTTTCAGAAAGGTAAAGGTGTAAATAGTCACAGAGTTGAATGTGTCAGACATCCCATTAAAAAAAGTTTTCACTAACATGTTGGTGTTAAAAAAAAAAGAAAAAAAAAGACTTCAGTAATCACGTAGTTATAGAAAGATATTTAGGTAAAATTGGAATAAACACAAAATAAACAACTTAAAAAAAACATTCCAATATACAGGTGGCGTCTAGTGGTAGGCGTAGTTTTTTTGTTTTTTTTTGCTTTCCTACAGAGCTCAACCAACCCTTAAACCACTGAACAAAACATCTGGAAGTCCCAAAAGAACCACATCCATATTTTTCTCATTTTATCTATTTTTTGTTGTTACACATCACAACCCGACGACATGGTAGGTTGACTGCTTGTCCATCATGTCTCTAGGTGGTTATCATCACACTTCTCCTCCTCATCGTCATCATCCCTTTTGTGTCATCTAAAAGCGCAGAACCCTTCAACATGCCGCACAGCCCCTCAAAAACAATTGCACCGCTTTAATGGTTACACTTTAATTTTTGCACTCTTTAGGTGCCGTTCGAGAAAAGGGGGCAATGATCGACGTGCCCTCCTACTAGAAGATTTCTATGTGTTTTGAACGTCCATGTTCAAAGTCCCCACACTTAGCAGACTGCTGCAGGGACGTGCCGAGTTTACAAGATGGCACAGAAGAACTTCTTCTCCCTGAACGGGTTCTCCGACGCTGGCACCGGCGACAATAAAGGGTCCTCTTTGGCATGAGCTTCGCAGTATGACATCAAGTCTGCTGCAGCTTTAGACACCTGCAGTTACAAACACACACACAAGTGTATCAGTTCAAGTTGGCGTGCACAGTGTGGAAATACACCAGTCCAATTTAATTCAAAGAGTTAAATCAGAAGGCGGATGCTTGTCTTTTATCTGGATTTCAAACGCATAGCAGCATGCAGGAGCTAGATCCTGGTTAGCTTAGCTTTACCAAAGTACCCCTAGAAGTAAGTCTCACCTCTTAGCACTACTTTAAAACTCACAATATTTCATCAATAATTCTCACAAACTACCACCCTCATCATGTGACTTGCTCTGGCAATGCCTAATGTTAAATTTCGTTAAGTTAACCAAATAAATCATCTAATCATTCTGATCTTACACATCTATGGAAGCCCGTTTCTGCCACTACAAAAAAAAAAAAGTATCCATAACTCGTTCTCGAAATTTTGACTTATTTTCTCGAAATTTGGACTTATTAACTCCAAATTTTGAGAAAATAACTCGTAATTTCGAGTTAATAAGTCAAAATGTCAAGAACGATAAATTTTTTTTTTAAGTGGCAGAAACAGGCTTCCATACACATCTGTACATATAGTACTGTGCAAAAGTTTCAAGCTGGCCCCCATTTCTTCATGTTTTCAAATAAAAATGGGAAACAGTATATGTAGAGTATATAAATCCAAAACCTGTCACTATTTGATCCGACCACCTTTATGCTACAGTACAGCCTGAACTCTCTTAGGTGAGCTTTCTAGTCTTTAAGGTCTTCAGGAATAGTCTCCAGGTTTCTTGAAGGACACTCAAAGCTCTTCTTTGGATGTTGGCTGGCTTTTTGTTCCATTGTCTGTCAAGATGATCTCACATCTAGCTCTAGGTCTGGGCTGTGGGGAGGCCTGCCCATGACTCATAGTGTTCCACTGTGTGTTCTTCTATCCAGGTATGCTTTTACTGACAGTGTGTTTGGGGCTTCTTTATTCCACCCTTCCAATTGAGGCCATTTCCAATGAGGCTTCAGGGACTATTAAATGGAAGCTCCTCATACATCTCTCAGGTCCTGTTCCAGAACTTTGGTGATTTTTTCCTCTATTTCTTAGGGACATGACTTTCATATACTCCTCATTTGCTGTAGCTAGTTTTTTAGGCCACCTCTTTTTTTGTCCTCCACTTATCCCGTTTTCTCACATTTTTAAGGACACACTGCACACCATGCTGAGAAACGCCACGTTTTCAGCTAATAGCTGTTTGGGGATCACCTTGTTGGTGAAAGTCCAGCTCATTCATCAAAATATAAAGACATGGGAGTTGACTGAAGACTTTTGCACAGTACTGTAAATCAGAAAAGTAATAATAAAGTCATGTGCAACAGCTGCGTTTGTCTGTTTTTATGACCGTAACAGTGATTGCTGCTCTCTTTGTAAGTACAGTTTGTTCTTAATAGGCTTGCCATTGCCAGTGTGTGAATGTGTGTGTGTGAATGGGTGAATGACTGAATGTAGTGTAAAGCGCTTTGGAGTCCTTAGGGACTGAGTAAAGCACTATACAAATGCAGGCCATTTACCATTTACCATTTTTACTTGGATACATTAGCAAAAATTAAAAGTAAATGAAGTATTCATTGCTATTGTTTGTTTACCTCCATTAGCTCTGTAAACTTTTAAGCCCAATTGTAAACAAACACATGTAAGTTAACGGACGGAAACCTAATTAAAAACATAAACCACGAGGTGCCAGCGCACCTTTATCCTGTCGATGTTGGCTTCCATCTTCAGCTGTTCCACCAGCTTCCTGGCTTGTGCGATGCTGGCCGTGTTATTGCTCGCCATGGGCGCTATCAGTCAGGCCTCGCGTGCTCAGTCTGCCTGTAGCAGAAAGAGATTTAAACATCCCAAACATTTCAGCTCAGAGATGAGCACTACAATATAGTGCAGGGGTAGGCGACTCCAGGCCTCAAGGGCCGGTGTCCTGCAGGTTTTAAAAGTGTCCTTGATCTAACACAGCAGATTCAAATTGCTAAATTACCTCCTCAACATGTCTTGAAGTTCTCCAGAGGACTGGTAACGAACTAATCATTTGATCCAGTTGTGTTGACCCAGGGTAAGAGCTAAAACCTGCAGGACACCGGCACTCGAGGCCTGGAGTTGCCTACCCCAGATATAGTGTAACAGGCATGCAGAGAGGAGTGCTAGTAACAGATACCCTGTTTATTATCACATGCCTACAGACACACAAACCACAGACACAAGCATATTATTTATGGTGTCAGTTGCTAGGCAGCCCCTGACAGTAAGAGAGGGAGGCAGGGGAGGTGGGAGGGGAGTGTGGGGGTGGCGCTTTGTCCGGTACTAAATTTCAAAAAAGATAAACGGTTAAGAAACATTAGAGGTTTCAGAAAGGAAAAGCTCTCATTATGCACAATAGCTTTTGTTTTTTTTAAACATATGTGGTGATACTCAGTCACAGTGTCACACAAGAGCACAGCGTCTGTCTCTGCCTTATATGTAGGACAATTCATGAAAAACATGGTGTGCAGCTATGAAAATTAACTACATTTCATTTGAGGTTTTGATTGTTTTCAACATAACAGGATATTTATTCTGTGAAAAAGGAAGCAACCTGGCCTCAGAAGCTATTATTGCCCCGTTTAAGCAGACATACGCTTGCTGAAACTGGACTTTTCCTCCATATAAAAGTTGCAAGATGTTAAATTAAATGCAAACTTTTTTACATGCCCTTTGTTTGAGTATATTACCTCTATCTGCAGGTAGTCTTGCTTACTCTCACAGTGCATAGAAAGTTGGCTGGCGATTCTAAATTGGCTACAAGTGTGAGTGGTGGTTTTTTTTCCTCCTTTGACAGCCCTATGGCAGCCAGTAGACCAGGTGTACTGAAGGGTAAAGCAGGTATACCTAAAGAATGGATGGACAGAGGCTCATAAAATATCTACTTATTCAAATATCTTTAAGAAGATAGCAATTTTTAATACACATATTTTTTCTCTCAACTGTAGCCACTGTATTGAGTTATTAAAACTGTTCAAATGCTTAATGGGCTTCTTGCAGATCAAACAAATAACAACTGCCTCCTTGGAGAAGCTTCAATGCTCCTCAAGTTCTCTCTGGAACGCCTTTGAAGGTGCACATTTCTTGCCACTCTAGGTGATTAAATATTGGTGGAAAATACTTCCCAACGTGCTCACAGGTCTTTACATGCGATGAAACTGTTCAGCGTCTTCATTACGTTTCTCCAACTATTTATTCTTTACATTTGTCACCGTGTCCTGAGGGCCTCCCCTGAGTTCTCCAGCTGCTTTGATTAAATGGATCAAGCCCTCCAAAACGGCTTCATCCTCGGTGTGCGATCAATCATCGCTGGAGCCCCCCTTCGTTATTCGTCTGTGCACGCTGTGGTACGACTCAGCGTGGGTTCAGCACTCATCTCAGTGAGGTGCTGGAGCAAAGCATAAACATTAACGCTCTGCGGTGGCACATCTGCTCCTCAGCACAGGTTCACGGGTTGATTCCATGTTATATTTGCAATGCTTTAAAGATCGATTGTACTCAAATGAAGCAGAGAATTTAACTTTAAAGCGTTCTTAAATGGTTTACAGATGAAAAGAAATACCATGATTAAAAAGTACTACAGTGATCTCAGAATCAGAATACTTTATTAATCCCTAGGGGAAATTATTTTTCGTTACAGTGCTCCATTTAATCTATTTAATCTTTGGAGTAACCCTAAAATAAATGGGATAAAAACTGTAAAGCATCATGCACAAGAAGCTCCAACTGGCTTGTTTTTGTAATTTTTGCATAAGCTGAAACAATAAAATTGAAACCAATACAATGTAGAAGATTAATTATCAACACAAAGGTTAAACATTTTGAGGACAGGAAGAGTATTTTTTCATTTTCCATTTTCCCCCTCCTCTAACCTAAGCTGGAACATCTCTGCACGATGTCAGCGCAAACCAAATGACAACGTGTAGACGATCCGTGAGAACAGCCCGCAGCAGGCTCAAAGCGCGAGGAGTGGAACATAAACACGATGGTTTATAGCCACTGCAGCTGAGGGATCCTGGATGTTCTTAGTTTGAGGAGAACGTCACCTTGTAGGGTCATGGTGTGCCAAAAAACACCCAACATCCATTATGAGGTTGCTAATCAACTCTGTTAGCTTTTTAAAAGCCCTTAAAGCAAACTTCGTTTTCGTCCCTTACCAAAATAAAAATAGGACAGAGAGTTATGATCGCTGAACAGAAATTAGTCTTTAGTGTCGTTTATATCAAGGCCACAATATTGTTTCAACACCCCTGGGAGACGTCAAAACAGGCCACCGTATCATCAGACTATTGATAGGGATAAATGTCACTCTGTAAGGTTTCTGGGATACGTGAAGAAAAGTAGGTCTTCCATTTTAACACATGCCCAAAAAAAAAAAAAGAGGCACAATAGCCTATTTTAAGAAAATTGTCAAGGAGAGTTGATGTTTTGAATAAACGCTGTATTAAATATGGAAGAAGCTAAATGATCAAAGTCAAGTCCCCTTTTGTAATTTCTCAGTTTTTACATCTTCCTCCTGTCCTTGCATCCTCCCCTTGTGTCTTAGTTCACGTGAAGAGATGTGAGAAGATGAGGGAGAGACACGAGGCGAGAGGACTGCAGGTATCAGGCGTTTAACACGATGAGGCTTCGTGTCAACTAAATATGATGTTTGGCACAGATACATCATAAATTGTTTCGTTACAGCCCAACTACTGATGAGCGTAACAGTGTTCACGCCAGCTTTTATAATTAGGTCTGCGTTTAATTAAATTCACCACATGCCGCATTGTGACGAGATATCGTACCTAGAGTCCCCGGAGTCCCTCTGTATTTTGCGTATTCCATCTGTGTGCCACGCTTACTTTATAAATACAGGCTAAAAACACTAGTGCAGGGGAGGCCTTCTCTTGTCCTCCAGATACATTTTAATAGCTGGGACATCCTTTAAATGGCACTCCGAGTTTAATTTTCAGGTCACAGGGAGGAGGACAGAGGAGACTACAAGGCAGAAATCTGAGAAATGTAAAAAGTTTCACTTTTTATTTTACCCACTAAGCTCTATGATAATAAAAGAAATGGAGGCCACACGTAAATTAACTGCCACTCTGGTTATTTACAGTTTTGGCAGATGTAAGGCAGGAATTTCCCCGCTTTAGAGCTAAATAAAGTATACAGTCATGTGGAAAATAATTCTTTACTACACTTTATATAGTCATGTGAGAAACTAAGCTTGTAAACTCGCCTTTAGCGGGAAGTAAACATCTTCTTAAAAGTCTTTTAATATTTGGCTCACTCTTCTTCACAGTATTGCTTCAGTCCTTTGAGGTTTGTGGGCACTCGCTGATGCACAGCTCTCAGCATTTCAACTGGCTTGTGGTCTGAGCTTTGACTGGTCCACTGCAAGCACCTTGGTTGTTGTCTTTTTATAGACATACTTGTCTTTTTCTAATTGCACTTGCATGAACTTCAACATTTAACATGTTAACTGAGGCCTGTAGAGTCTGAGTTTTTCCGAGGATTGCGCAGCCTGACCTTTGCAGGAATGTTGACTCCTGGGAAGATTGTAGTATCATATTAACATGCACCGAAATGCTCAAGACTAGCAAACTATCAAAAAGATTGAATTAGTTAATAAGTAAGTGCTCTTTATTCATATGGAAGCAGTAAGGGTGTAGTTAATTAATCAAAGGGCTATATTTCATCTCATCAAAGTTAATTTAACACATTGCTAAGGGATGAAACAAAAAAGCTACATTGCTCGCTTAGCTAAAAATGGCAAAAACTTCTCCAAATGACACTAAAGTTAAAGCATGAATGTGGAAAAAAGAGAATAAAGAGAAAAACAAAAAAGTAAGAAGCAACTGGGCAGAGCTTTCACTGAGGCTGCAAGGTCACTTTCCTGTTCATTACTGTTGGAGCGTGCGAAAATGCCACCCTGACATTTTCATATCTGCTAAAGGAGGGCGGGGTGATGGTGACATGTAGCAGATGCACACTTTTCCTTCCTTCCTTCCAACCTAATTTCCTTTCCTTTCTGCTAGCTGCTTAAAATACCATTCTGAGATGTTGCGTCTGGTGTCATCATCCCGATAAGTGTGACACTGATAAATAATGCATTCAGATGGACAGAGGCCTTAACCGTGTAAGCTGTCGACAACTTTATGGCAGCTGTCACGATTAGTTCACAAACTCTTTGCAGCAGCAGCAAGAGGGCTGTGTCATCACCGTGCCCTTGTGATGGCATCAGCCACACAGGGGTAAATCAGTCCATTTTTTCACTTTATTAGTTTGCTTTGCAGTTTTCTTCATTAATATAATTTATTAATCATTTGGTTAAACCTAACACTGATATGATGAGGCGCGCACATAGTAGCATTGTTTGGTTTTTCTAAAATGTTTTGTTATATTAATTATGTTTCTCTTTCTTTGAGTTACCTGGGTTTGGGCGGTGGATGTTTATAATTAGCTGACCTCTTTTATGGGCCTGCTAAGTATGGTTTTGAATTTTGTTAATTTTGGACTTTTTGAGGGTTAAAATAAAGAAAACCCTTTTTGAAGATACTTTTTTGCCTGTGTCCTCTTTGCTTTGGCTGCTTGATCCCTCACAGCCCTCAAGCCACAAGATTGAGAAAGATGTCGCCATGCGTCTTTTCTCGTCAACCTTCTTCCTCTTGCCTGGACGTACCTTGTCTACTTACTCCTCCGCGCTCTGCCCTGGTGCGCGTCTGCAGTTCAGTCAGCAGTTTGTGTCTGCCACACTCTCTGCAAACAAGGAGAAGGAAAGAGAAGGGGAGTGAGAATCGGAATCAGAGCTCTGCATGCTTTCAATCCCACATTCCAGATAAATTACGCCAAGGCATGTCTGTGCAGCCTCTGTCCTCTGATCAGTGTGTGTCAGAATGTCACAGATAGCAGAAGAAATTCCTTCAAGGTATTCCATAGTATAATGTGGATAATTTGGAATTTGTGATATTGCATTTGTGTCATTTGCATAGGTGATTTGCTCTGCAGAGTGAAGGTTTATGGGTACACAACCTATGCATGACATGCTTGCATGTGGTCCTCCATAAAAACCAACACTGGGTAGCCTGACTGAGATGACGCTGTGCGTAACTCAAGTGCGGATTTTGTAAAGTTGCCCAGAACAGGAAAGGAATTGCAGTGGAGTCCACAACACAGAGGCAGCAGGGTGGAAAAAAACCTTAAAGAAGAAAAGAAAATAGCTACAGTGGACAGTTTTTATTGTTTTAAACACTTGGTTTCACTTTGGCCTTTTGTATGTTATAACTTTGCTTTTCCCCAGACCAGTTGTTCCATGAACTATGCTGGTCCCTTAACTTGGAAACAGCTACCTCTGTTGCAAACATACTAATCCTCAGACTAAACTTAAAATGTTTTCATCACGATAAGAAGGCTGATCGTTCTTCTGTCTATGCAATAAATATGTACAACAGAGATCAGCTGTTTACCCTAGCTTAGCATAAAGAGGTTTTACAGGCTTTCAGGAAGACATATGGAATATAAAGTGCTGTGTAGTGAGATTTAGATGTGCTGGTAGAACAGAAGTAGCCTAGTTATTTGTCCTCATTTGCAGTCTTTACACTAAACAAAGCAACAGTGCTAGCAGTCCTCCCATCTAACTCTCAGCAAAACCACAAATAGTGACACTTGTAAAAATGTCCAACTCTTCCTTTAAGTCTTCAGTGGGTGCTGACCCTAACTTTCTCTCTATCAGCCTGTCCTTTCTTCTTCTGGCCATTCAGATTCATTCTTTAATGCATCTGTGACTCTGCATCTCAGTTCTGATAAATGGGCCAATTATCCCGCATGAGCAGATCTGCAGAGGATGGGAATTCCTGCCATCATAAATCATGGTAGCGCACAGCGCGCAACATTAAAGCAACGTTACAATGAGGAATCCATTAACAAAACCTTACCAACAGCTGCAGGACCCCTGAGCCAAAGTATTTTAGCAATGCTGAAGCTGCTTGGAGTTTAAATAACAAGCAAAAAGAAAGAGGACTCTTGCAGTCTTGGAGTTCACTGTAGCCCCTCCAGATTCACTGGTGGGGCCATTAATCTACATTGTTACACTGTGTTATGCAAGCGTCTATAATAATCTCATCTGCGCAGTGATTCTTAAACTAGCAGCAGGAGAGCTGTAGCAGGTGTGAAGTGTGTAACGGGATGGTCTTGTAAAATCTCTTAACGGGAAATTTTATTTAGTTCTTGATGGCAAAGAAAAAGTTTTTTTGATACTCCACTAAAAAAGTCAAATGCTGCTGCACTTTCAGAGCAGCAGTCGAAGAACAGTGATGTTTAAGAAGCCAGTTTGATTTGAGCTTTGTGACAGTGTATTATTTTGCTGAAAGAAGCCACCAGAAGATGGGGATGAACGGCCTGGTCAGCGGCAGGCGGCAGCATTTAAATGATGCTCAGTTGGTACGAAGAGGTCCAAAGTGTGCCAAGAAAATGTCCCCCATGGTTCAGGCTACCGGGGCCATCACCAACAGCCTCAGCCGCTGATATAAAGCAGAATGAATCCATGTTTTCATCTTGTTTATGCCAAATTCTGCCATCTGAATATCGTAGCAGAAATGAAGACTCTTCAGACCAGGCGATATTTTTCCAGTCGTCCATCATCCAATTTTAGTGAGCCTGTGCAAACTGTAGCCTTATTTTTCTATTCTTAGCTGACAGGAGCGGCACTTAGTGTGCTCTGCTGTAGTACATCTGCTTCAACGTTCATGCGTTTTGCATTCAGAGATGCAAACAGTACCTGTTGCCTTGCTATCAGCTCAAAGTAGTCTGGCCATTCTCCTCTGACCTCTGAGACCAACAAGGCATTTTTGCCCGGTTAACTTCTGCTCACAGAATCTTTTCTTTTTTTGGATCACTTTGTGTGAACTCAGAGATGGTTGTGTGGGAAAATCCCAGTAGAGCAGCAGTTTCTAAAACACTCAGACCAGCTCATGTTCAAAGGTACAAAAATCATCTTTCTTCCTCGTTCTGATGCTCAGCTTAAACTTCATCATCTCGACCATGTCTACACGCCTCAATGCATTAAGTTGCTGCCATGTGATTGGCTGATTAGATGTTTGCATTATGGAGCAGTTGAACAGGTGTACCCAATGAACTGGCCTGTGAGTTTATTTGCTGTGTGTATCACCCAGTTATTCTAACTAATAACTGTTATTGACATTACACAGTGGCAGAGTCACGTGACTAGTAACATGCGACTGTGTCATCATAAGTTTTATTTATATAGAACACATGTTTGCTCACAGAAACATCCGGCTTGTCAATCAAAAGAATCGCTTTTACATCCGGGAACTTTCCAGCAATCATCTTCTGTCGGCTGCTGCTGGGATCGAGAGCAATATGAAAGTAAAGTTTTATAAACACTGAATTTGCAAGAAATTAAACAGCTAGTTTAGCAGTCTGCTACCCTCCAAACAAAGTTTGTGATTAATGTTAAAAAAAAACCCAGACCAATGTTTTTTTCCCAACTAGGCCAATTATGACAGTTTTTAAAACATAGCTGTATTTTTGTGTGATCTTCTCTACAATAAGACTTATTATTGCAGCCAGAAGAGTCGCCCCCTGTTGCCCATTAAGAGAATGAGGCGCTTCTGAATGTACTTCACCTGTCGGGCCTGGAGGTGACGATAAACTTTTAAAAGTGTGGGACATAAATTACGCTTCAAACAACATTACCGTGTATTTTAGACAACTTTTCCAGCCATATAATGTTGCCATTTTAATCAAGTGCCTCCAATGTTGCATGGTAACTGAAAGGTAGCTAGTTTGATCCCACCCAGGTCGGACATCAGGAAATAAAACACATTCTGTGGGGAAACAAACACTTCTTGTGAGTGTGAAAATAAACACTCATCTCATTTACTATGGAAAAGAGACAAAGTGTCTTTTTTATAGTAATGGCTGCACTAACTTTGGTAATTTCCTGCTTATTTTAATTCACTTTATGCTGTGGGAAAGTCAGGAAAGCCAGCCATTCTTAAAAAAGAAAAGAAAAAAGTTGCTGAATTTGATTTCCTGGTGAACAGATTATGTCGTCATATTAATGTTGCAAAGCAGCAGCGAGATCAGTGAATGAAAGACAAAGGGTGTTAAAATACTTAAGTCCAAGGAATTCGTTTTTTTATCTAAATACTTGGAAATATCGTTCCTTACTTTTAGACCAGTAAAGGATTTCTAGCTAAACTGTGGTGAGCGGGAAAAAACAAATGCAACATGTGAGTGGTGATCCATTTCTCTCCTTTGTTCCAGCCTTCTGCTTCCCGTCCCTCCCTGTATGGCAGACAGGTGTTCACCGATATGACAGAACCACCCCCAGCATGCTCTGTCCTGCTTCTAACACCACAGAATCAATCTAACCCCTTCTGCCATCCTTCCCCTGACATTTGGAGCTTTTTTGAACCTCTTCCTACAGGCTTTCGGGGGGTCTGTGTTTGTGACGAGGCCCTCCATAGATGTGATTATAGCTGCTGCTCGACTCTGGGTGTCGCTGACTTAAAGGGTGATTAAGCGCCACAGGAAACATCCTGGTGAGGAAAATATAATTCCTGGCCTGTCGAGAGTGACGATCTCTTACGTACTCCCACGCAGGCTGGCTCTCGGCTCAGTTCTCCTTCCCTTTTTCCAACTCCTTTCACTTCTGTAGTGCACACCTTATTTATCCTGTCTTTTATTCCCTACACCATCCAAAGAGAAATTTAAGCAGCGAAGCAGGGAGTGTTCTGTCCTCTGTGATGCCTAGGGTGTGAAATCAGAGCGTGGTAATTAAAAATGTGTCCCTGGCTCAGCCATCTGGACCCTGGAGAGTCAGTGATTAACCTGCAAGGGTCTGCAGGGACAGCAAGAAGGCAGGAAGTAACCCCTGCTCAGAGCTCATTTGAAGGTCTCTTAAGGCCTGTCTTTACAAGAATGCAAACAGCACACCTTCCTCAAAGCCCCCTTACTTATTGTTGCTGTTACATTTAAGTTACACTCATAAACCCAGCAGATTTACTACAAATTCTTGGTTATTTCCGAAGAAAAGTTCTTTTTTGTAGTTTTTCTTTTAAAAAAAGTAAAAGTTTCTCTTCCCTAGTAGACAAATTGGCATTTAATTTTGCCTTTTTCAAACTGACAGATTTGGGGTGAAAAATGTAGATTCCCCAACGAGTTCATGAGTGATTGCTGGACTTTGTTGGCTGTTGCCAAGTGAAAAGAGGGTTCTGCATTAAAAACCTCCTTCTGATTGCTCTGGTCATTAGCAGATTGCTGCACTTGTCTGCATGAAAGATGCAGACTTGTCTGTAAACACTGTATTTTGCTAGTGTTTGCAGACAAGTTGGTGTCATCCATACAAACCTCGATGGCAACTAGCAACCCAGAAGTCACACAGGGTTTTCTGTGCAGTCCTGGTTAACTATGTGCCGGCCAGAGGGCTGAAATCCACCCTATCCTCCCTGGCATATTGCATCCTACAAAAAACTATCTGTATACATCGCTACAAATGACGGTATGCAATAAAATGTTATTTCTTTTCATATTAATCAAGCTGAGCTTATAGCATCCTGAGAGAAGTATTTGCAATCCTTCCCATTGAGTCAGTATTTCATGCTTTCCTACCAAACAAAACCAATCCTAAACCTGGCTGCGGATTTTTTAACAATGTAGTTTTTCCATTTATTTCTGTAGCCTTGTGTGAGTGTGCAGAAGAAAAAGTGTGCAAAAACTTCAGTCATCTGACTCTCATAGTATGACAGAGTAACTGTACCATCCTCAATGCGTCATAGGACACTGAGCTGCGATGTCACTGGGGAACTAAAGACAGCAAAGGGCACACTCAGCTAAAGAAAGATTTGCAGAAGTGTAAACGGATACTAGAGGACACCAAGAAAGAGAGAGAAAAGCAAATAAAAGCTGGAAATAAAGTTTGTTGGAAAAATGAAAGAGAGGATGTGGTAGCAATACCTTCTTCCAGAGTGGCTTTGACCGCAGCAAGGAGAAGTACAGAAACATAAAACTGACCTCCGGAGTTATTAATGAACACAATCAGGAAGATATTGACTGTTGACTGTAATTTAGCACGGATCCCTGCCCTTGAACAGGAGAAAGGACGCCCCTCCCTCTGCACGCAAAGACGAAGCGATGAGACACAGAGAGCTGAACTGTCAGGTCATAACTGTCTGTGGAGATGATGCTGAGTGCGACAGCTGAATGCCCTTCTCCATCACAGTCTTCAGTTATACTGGGCTCTGAGCGGCATCATATTAGTAGAAGAAATAAAGAACATTTGGAGGTTTGATCACAAACCGGCCCATTCAAGAGGCCTATCCCTCACTGATAAGCCTGAAAACACAAAGAAATGAAAACATAGTGCAAGTTAATATCTGTACTAGCTAACTGAACATACACTGACTGAAAAACGTGTGAAAACATCGCGGGAAAATCTCATGTCAGCCACCAGAGTTGCGTATTTAGCACTAAAAGAGCGCCTCAGTGCTGTGGATCTATATTGTGTGTGGGAGGGAGGCTTGTGGTTGCGTTTCATTCATGATTTATGAAAAAAACACAATCCCCATTCAATATCTCTAAAGCCATTGCTTTTTAATATAGCACTGTAAAGCGAATTCACTAAGAAATAGAAAAGGATCTAAATGTTTCTTTCAAATCTTCATCATTTAAAAAACAAAAACATGTAAGATTAAAACATTTTAGCTGCTAATTTAATCATTGAACCATTCAAAGGGCTAGCAAGCACGCAGCTGTAAATCTGTTTTATTGATTCAGTCACAAAAAACGTTTTTAGAATCTGTGTCAAGTGAAATAAATATTCATGATGACGATGATGATGATCATCATCAGGCTAATTTTTCCCCCAGCATTGTTTTAATTTTGGCACGTATTAGCTGCTTCGTGCTCCCTCCTCGTGCCACTTCCTCCCAGTCAGACCACCACCACCCACGATCATTCAATGAGCCTGGACATCTGTGCCACCCCCAGGACGCCCTGCCCATCTTACCATCTCAGAGGCTGTGTGTGTACATATACTGTATACATGTGTAGTGGGGGTAATCTAGGTCCCTGAGGGGGGAGGGGAGAAAGCAGTGGCCCAGGAAATGACGCATCCGCTGGGAGTCAAGGAGGCAGCAGGGAGGAGGCTTCTTTTGCTCCAGGGAGTGCAAATATGGTCTTTTATGTTTATTAAATCAAACAGCCAAGGTCCTGTGTGTTTTTGCATTGTCAGATTGAAACAGTGACCAAGTGGTTTGGCTTTTCCTCAAACGTAAAGCATTTTAAACCTTTGATTTGCGTGTTTCATAACAGCAGTGCAGTTAGTGGGATAGAAACAATGCACTGGCGCTCACGGGAACAGCCTCTGAGCTTCAGGAGCAAACACAAAGAAAAAAACCAATTCTTTTTTCTTTGGGGGGGTCATCAGCCAAATAATGCTGCTGATTTTTGTGAAGGTTTTCGGGGGGTAATCACGTCTTTTACCCACTCTAAATGATACTTGGAATGAGACAGTGTGGTCGCATCTTTTGTGTACGTCAGTTTCTGTTCTCCGTGATTTCATTGACGGGAATCTGAAGGAGTTTTGTCCTCGCTCATGGCAGCACAAACACATTTTTCCTCTGAAATTAATCAGCATGCAAGAGAATAACACAGCCAGATTCCTGGGCTGTTAACAATATCACAAACATCCGGGCTTGTGTGGATTCTGCTGAGGGACCATCACAGACGCTCACTGGGCTTCTGGTCTTTCTGATCAGCTTTTACAAACTAAAAGCCTGGAAACTAAACACTTCTGATTGATTTGGACTCGAGTCAGACTTGCTGTAAATTTTATTTAAACACATCTCTGTGAGATTAATCAGTTAAGAGAGACTTTAAACTTATATGACAGCTATGAGAGGTGACAGGCCTGAGACTTTTCCTCCTGCAGTGACCTCTGCCGTGGCTTTAACCTTTGCTGAATTTGCTCCAGGAGACCTAAAAACTGCTCCTGCGAACTTGAAACTCGAGGATTTGAGTTGGATTGGATAAGACTTGCATCTGGTAGATCCGGCTCACACTTAATTCACAAAAATAAAAATGTAAATAACAATGTTTTTTCATTGGAATCAGTGGTCTGCTGGGAAAACTCAGGCCGTATCCTGCGCTAGGGTGGATATGTGACATCTAACACCCACCCAACCACAAATCTATAGAAATAGCGCTCCCCAATGGCAGCAGCGGAACAACAATGCCACAAAAGTGTGTGACAGCTATGTGACTTGACTCCGAATACTTTCCCCACAACTTATTGTCTAGATGCGTACTTTAAGAGGGTTAAAGTTATATCGCCACAGCCACACGCCAGTGGACAATGAAGACATAACAACTCAAACTACTCTGTTTTCAGGCAGTTAGTCGACCGTATCGACCGGCTGCCCGCTGCACAGCTACGCATGGTGGACATTTCTCTTTATATGCAGATTGTAAAAATTAGGTCTTGAGTTTAGACTGTAAAAAAACATTTAAAGTCTAATGACTTGGCTTGAGCTTTGTTTCGAAGACTCATGACTTGATTTCCTCTTTACCTAAACGACAGCTGAGAACACAGCACAGTCGAATGAGCTTAAAAACCAAAATCAACACTGTTAGAAGCAAACAAGCGCTTTGAGTACAAAGGTCAAAGCCTTTAATTCAACATAATTCCCACCTCATGTTTGCTTTTCCTATGAGGTCACTTCTGCTCACATCTTAAATAAGGAAACTGACACACAGATGACAAGGCTAACTGTAGTTTCTCACTTTACCCTGAAACAGAATCATTTTTGGGCGGAGGTTCTGAAAGGAGCAGGGAGAGGTCACCGTGCTCAGCAAGTCGTGCACCGCTCGGTTCCCCTTACTCTTTTTCAGTCGTTCCTCCCTTACTGCCTTCGCTTTCTATTTACAGACTCGGCACTGGGGTTCTGGAAAACACTCAAGGTTTTGTGAGGCATTGTGAGCCGCTCTTTTAGTCTCAACATCGATGCAGCTGATGTGGCCTCGGAGCAGTTCCTCTTTGAGATACAGTACGACCTGCCTGGACGCGAGCTCTTGCGTAATTCCAGCTCGCATTTGTAATAGGCCTGGATATGTAACACAATTGCATGCACATGATTGGGTGATTTAACGTGAGCTGTGCATGACGATGCCTTTGTGTGACGGGCTAAGACCGGGGAAAAACAGCGCATCTGTGTTTGTTTTCTTGCACTTCTTTTGAATGTGTGCCGCTGTCAGCATCTATATAGTCTGTAAGCTCCATAAAAAAAAAAAACATCCACCACCCCCCTCTCCACCTCCTCCCTCCCTCCTTCTCCCTCAGCCATCTGCCTGATACAACCACTACATCCAGCTTGTGTGTTGTCAACTGCTTTTTCCTTTCCTCAATGGAGGGCTAGGAAGCCTCACGAAAAGCTTCTGGATAACTTTCGGCTGCTTCCGTCTTTTGCATCTCTTCCTGCCAACCACCCCCACCCTGCTTTTCATCCACCTCTTTCTTTGCCTTTTCCATCCCTTCTGCTCAGGCAAATATCCCCTGAAACAGATGCCCTTAATTCCTCTGGCCCCACATTATAAGATCTGCCCAATCCTGAGGCAAGAAGGAGGAGTGAGGAATAAGAAAAGCAAAGAAGAAAGCCCACTCTCCTGTTTTCTTTTCACACACACGTATAGGAGGAGATAATGGACGGGGAGGGGGGTATTAAACAGCGGCTCACCTCTGAGGAAGGAGCTTTTTAGTGATTTTAGAGGGAGGAGGGGATTCCATGACGTAAACCAGCCAGCAGCATCAATCTCACCCCTCGAGCGCTGACAAAAAAGACATCATGGATATGTAAACCCCCCCCGCCCCTCCTCTGGAACACACCCTGTTTCAGATGCGATTAACCCACATGCCACCAAATTACAAAAAATAACTAAATGACAGGAAGCAAAAATGTAAATAAAAATTCAACCTACCTTTACTGTGGTTGTGCGCTCTCCTTCTGTGAATCCAAATGCAGCCAGTCATGTGGAGTAGTATCCACGCGTTCTGCCTTCTGCTGATCTCTTTCTGTCACACACACACACACACACAGAGGCAGCCGATTACATCCACGCTCACAACACACACTCCTCTATCTGTATGCCTTTCGCTCTCTCCCTCTCTCTCTCTGTGTCTACTCCCGCTGAGATCCTCCCTCCTCACTGCTGCTCCGAGTCTCCACCCTTCAGCGAAACGCTCGGGCTCCAAGAATCTACCCTCCTCTTCATCCTCCCTCCCTCTTTGTGTCTTTTCTTTTCTGCCATTAGGACACACTTCCTCCGCCTCTCAGAGGTCCACAGGAAAAGCCTCGAGTGTCTCTCTAAACAGCTGCAATAAACAGATGCATACCAGGACAGCCGACAGTCTGGATTTAAATCTTGAGAAATTTTAGTGGCACTTTAAAAAAAAACATCCTTACTGATGAGGGCTACATAAATAAAAAAACAACAACAACAACAACAAAATCTAACAACATCACATCCTGTATTGCATGCATGACACATGCCTTCTTGCCACAGCGGAAATGTTTAATCATCAGTCTACTTGCATATCACAGCAAAGCCAAAGATCAAAAGATTATAAATAAAAACATACACCAGATGTGGAGCAAAAAACACAAAAAGTGTGCTGTACATTTGGGAGTACAGAGGTTTTCTGCATGTGCTGGATACACTCAATTTGGGCGAGTGTACTAGAAGAAAAAAAGTCAAAAACTGGTTCTTACCCTTAATACTGGCAAACCTAACTGATGTTATCTTGCAAACGCAACAGGCCCCAACAACTGATTTAAATATGCTGCACTTTGCACCATATCTTGTCACATTATCTTGATGGCGCCATGTTCCATATTATTGTGGGATTGGGACTTTTTTCTCTTTTCTTTTCTGCTATTTGTGCTGCAAAGGCACTTCGCAAACAACTGCCCGATAGCCAGATTCTTAACTCAACTACGCAACCGGCAATGAACAAGCATGTTAAAATCGGCATTAATGAATAAAACAGCTGTATCGATTACTATATGCTTGCATTTATCTGATTTTGTATAAGCTTGTTTTTCCTTGTAATTGGTTAGTGTTGTTATTTTTATGCCTTTCTTCGCCAATCCTGCATTTAACAGCATAACAACCCATCCTAAGTTTCTGAAAAACAACAAAGGTCTGGCTTTTTAACTAGTAAATATAATACATTAAGTTTTTGTGCCATGTAATTACTTCAGTGCATTCAGAGACAACAGGGAATTAAGGTGATTACAATCTTTACTCATCCAAAAATTTAAATTTAGGCCAGTTTCCTCTGTTCTGTTGAGCCATTAATTGATCTGGCTTGTTTTGGTGCCAGTTGCAACACTCGGTATCTCTTTTCATATATATATACATATATATTCCAACAAACAAACAAATAAACCCCAACAACAACAAAAACATCTTTCAACAGCTGATAAATCAAAATTTACAGAGTAAAGAAGAGACAGGAAAAAAACCCTTTAATCATGATATGAGTTTTGAGCAGAGGCACCATGTTGGCAACATCTGTTTGCCAGTCTTAAAAACATAAAAATTGGCCATCCGAGCGGAGTCCGCGACCAATACAAGATTTTTAAGGCTGATAACAACACTAACATTTTATGATTTTAAAAATCAAACTGACCAGTAGTTTGGTTTTTTTTTTCTTTCAGATGGAAGAAACATAAACAGCTTCCCTAAAATGTATTTGTGTGTACTTGGGTGGGGAGGACAATGTAATGCAGCTTAAAAATAACCTTGTTTTATTGCCACAGTAACTCGTGGATTACTCAACTGGCTCCAAGCGTGTGTTGCTGACAGGGAAGTTGCAAAGTCCCCTCAGCTGGGCAAAGTATACAAGATCAACATTCATAGCATGATTAAAAGTGTTTCTCCCATCTCTTCTTTACTCTTTAAATTTTCATTTCTCTGCTGTTATAAATGCTGATACTGTATATGAGCAAATAGCTCATTTCAACCGATATATATATATCGGCTCCCCTGGTACATCAACTGGGCCCCAGCAGAGTGTAAAAAAGTAGTTAGTTAGTTTGCCTAAAACAAAAATTAGATGATATATCAGAATTTTGGATTTGTAAACCACAAATATCGGTATTGGTATCAGTCTTAAAAGTCCTATATCAAACAGCTGTAGTGGAGTGTTTCTTCTGTACATCTATAACAGCAGGCAGATGTAGTTTGTAAAAACAAATCGACTGAGACTGCCAAAGCCACTCTCCCTGATGGCAGATGCTTCCCCCAGGAGGACATTACATCCTGCCACAACAACAAAAAACTGTGCTGATCCTGTGATTTCATATAAATTATTAAGGCAGCATTTAAGAGCTGTCTGGCTTCTAATTCTGAGCTCATTCAGACGATGCCTCTATGAGAATACTGTACATCTGCTCTCATGCATATCAAGTTTTTCGCCTCCAGGTAAACTCAGCAAACGGTATTTGTGTTCCTCCTACTGTCTGAGCGTCACGTTTTCTGTGAGTCACATTTTCCCTGGCTCCATTCATGCAGATGTTATTTTCTGTGACTTACAGTAGCAGCTCATGTCCATAGAGAGGGACAGAGAGAGGGCGGAGAGGAAGATGTAGAATCAGTGAGTCATGGTTCCTGCGAAGGCGACTGTAGGAAGCCTCTGTCGCCAGGATACCACCATGATCTGGGATAGCCCTTCGTGGGTCCAGTAAATTAATGGTTTCCACACATCTCTTTTTTCCCCCCACATATCCTCCACAGGGTCCTTTTGTTTCTGAACTCAAGAATCACTGATATCACCGTCTGTCCTGATATGATCTATTACTAGATTTTTGTTTTGTTTTACTATAAAATCTTTGAAAAATGTTGTCATGCAGTTTAATTGCTGATGATTACATTGTTAACGTCTCCACATCCAGTTCAGTAAATGCAAGAATTCCGGCTGGAAGTGTATAGCAAACGGCTATGCTCAGTACACATTAACAAACAGGACTGAACAGTATTCAGTTTTACAAATAATTTTGAAATCAGAGGACGTCAGAGGTGAGAGGTACAACAGTGAGTGTCTATAGTCATCTGTAAAACACGGTGGAGGTGCTGTCACGGTTTGGGTCTGCATTTTAGCCAGTGGTGTTGGAGATCGGGTCAAGATTTAATTATAAACACAGAATAGTGTGAACACTGTGCAGTACCATCTGGAAAGCATCTGATTGACAGCAGCTTCATTTCACTATTACAAAGCATACCTAGATAGAAAAACACACAATGGAAGAGCAAAAAAAACAAAACAAAAGAAGAGCTTTGAATGTGCTTTAGGAAGCCTGCAGAACTATTCCTGAAGACTACTTCAAGAAATTACTAGACAACTGTCTAAGAGAGCTCAGGATGGGTTGAAGAATAAAGGTTTTTACTGAAGTTCTAATAAAAAACAATGCAGCACATCAAATATTTGCCTTATATACTCTATTTCCATCTACGGTAGTATCTACTTCCCCTTTTCCTAGAGAAATAAGAGACTTTTGCACTGAATTGCATTTGAGCTAATTATTAAAACAAAACAAACAAACAAACAAAAACAATTACGCGATTTTAACTTGACGTTTTTGAAGGGCATCTGTGATTTTTATAAAAACTGTTTTGTTGATTTAAGTATTTATCGCTTAAGCCCTTTGTCAGGTACAAAGAAGGTCTTTACCTGACTGAAAATCATGATTCAATATTCTGTACACATCCACAAGTGCCTTTCTTGCTAGCTGCACATGCGCATTATCACCTTTGATGTCTTGGCACTTAACCTAGCCTAGCTTTTGGGGTCACAAGCAGACAACTTAGGGCCCCAGTGGTGGCATGGATCCTGGACAGCGTCGAATAAAAGCTGTATATTTATTTACAATTTTTGTATTCCTAAGTAATTAGTGTCATAATTAACTTTTTCGAATAACTCTGGTGACTGAGCTTGATTCCAAAAACTAATGGAGCCTCTCTGACGCCACTCCACCCCTTACAAATGAAGCCGAATGGTTTAGCCCACCCATTAACGAAAGGAAAGAAGGAGAGAAGGAGGAAAACTGAGGAAAAGAAAAAGGTAAGCAGAGCACTCCCCAAAGTTGACATGAGTTGGTAGAGACAGTGAGAAACAGGTGAAATTTTAGCAGTAAGCTTTAATGTGCTGTTTCAGACTGATGAAACGGACATTAAAATACCACAATGACACGTCTCATTAATTAAAATAAAAATAGGTGGACGCTTACGGCACTTATGCTGCTTTTGCTAGTTCTAACGAAACACCATGATCCAGCATTATAGTGAAGTAAACAACTCAAATAAGCTTTTAAAGATGAAGTGGATCCAAGCGCCAAAATTTGAATGTTTGTCCCTCTTAGCAACTGGAATTTTCACAGTTTTCCAACTAGGCCATCATTTTCCATCTCGGGAAACAAGCGTTTTACTGCAGAAATTCAACCGCTGGATCCTTCTCGTAGAGTTTTTTCCTCTCATAAATTAAAAACGTCTTCTTTATTTCAAGTCAGTGAAGTTTATGTATTCAATGCATGAAGTCTCCTTTACCCTTGGCTCAGCTTTCTCATGCTTGCATACTCTATAATTAATTTTTAATATTATTATTGTTATTATTAAAAGACTAAGATATATAACCATTTACCATCACACCTGCAGGCACTTTAGAATTATCCATTAACCTAACGAGTATATCTTTGGACAGTTTCAAACATAGCGCTGAGCAGGTTCTATTGGCTAACTTGTGTAAATAATCTAACAACCCTCTCGCAGTTTTAGCTGTATTAACCTAAGTACCTCCGCAACAGAAGCCCAGAACTGAAAGATTGAAATAACAAAAACATAAGGAACTACAATTCATTTCATTCATTTCTCCACTTATCAAATTCTGGGCTGTGGGAGGAGGATGGAGTCTGTCCCAGCTGTCACGGGTTAAGAGGAAGGGTACATCCTGGACAGGTTTGGAAATTTATCACAGAGCCAACACACAGACTAGCACTCTTGCTCAGTTTGGAATTACTAATAAACCTAACCGTCTGCATGTCTATGGACTGTGGGAGGAAGCTTGAGTATCCAGTAAACATGCAAAGTCCCCACAGAAAGGCCCCAGATTGCATTCAAACACAGAACCTCCATGCCGTGAGGCACCACTGCTAACCATTGCATCACTGTGTAGCCCCACCATCATCTTAAGTTATCTGCTGTACT